CGCCCTCGGGAATTACAGAAACATGTGATAAAAAAAAGATGTAACATTTCCAAGACAAAAAAAGTGACATTTACCTATTCCAAATATACCTTTCATAGTCCAAGCTAAAATCCCGGTCAGGAAGGTATTCTCTAAAGAAAAAAAGCAAAGGAACTTTAGTGACGTTCCGAAGACAAAAAAAAACAAAAAAACACGCCCCTAACTAACCTACATAGCCCAAGCCCAGGAAGTCATCCCTTAAAAAAATAAGAAGAAAAAGGAACGTTGATGACATTCCAGAGACAAAAACTCCTCTCCCAAACTTACCTTTCATAATCCAAGCTGAAATCAAAGTCCAAGAAGGCGTTCCCTAAAGAAAAAAATAAAAATAAACGTTAATGACATTTTAAAGACAACAAAAAAACGAAAAATCCCACCCAACTTACCTTCACAATCCAGGCTGAAATTCAAGTCCAAGAGGGCGTTCCCTAAAGAACGTTTCAGAGACAAAAAAAAATAAGTTTCCCACCCACTCTACCTTTCATAGCCCAGGCCGAAATCCAGGTCCAAGAAGGTGTCTTCTAAATAAAAGAAGCAGAAGGAGCATTAGTAAGACTCCTTAAACAAAAAAATAATCACCTTTAACTTACCTTTTGCAATTCAGGTCCAGGAAGGCGTCCCTAAAGAAAAGAAGTGAAGAACACGTTTAGTAACATTCCCCAAAGCGAAAGAACAAAGAAATCCGCACTCACCGTTCAAAAACCAAGTTGTCCAAGTTGTCAAAGTCAGTTCTAGGCCAAGGAGAAAGCGTCTCTAAAGAAAAAATATAAATGGAACGTTAGTAACGTCCCAAAACGAAAGAACAACATCAGGAGGTTAAATCATGCGAGTAATAGTGTAGAATCATCAAATATGTATATACTCGAAAATTTACATCTTGAAAAAATCTGTAGATTTACGGATTTGTGTAATGTACACTTAAAAATATAGTCTCGATAATTTTTATTTTAAAAATTCGCATAAATTTTACTTAAATGGATAGTTTTGATAACTCACTTTACTAAAAATATTTGTAAATATACTATTTTGTATAGCTTACACTTAAATATATAGTCTTGATAATTCTTATATTAGAAATTTGTATAAATTTTACTTAAATGGGTAGTTTTGATAACTCACTTTACTAAAAATATTCGTAAATATACTATTTTGTATAACTTACGCTTAATATAATTATCATTTTAAAACTTTATTAGTACAATATATAATACTAAATATTTGAACCAAGAAATGATAACATATATACAATTTAGAAAATATTTCTATTCATCAAAAATTCATTTTCTTTATGAAATCTTGGTATAATATGAACACTGTGTGTTATAGAATCTAATGGTACTACATCATAACTTTTTAACATTAATAGCCGAGAACATCCATAAAATCAAAGCAGGATTGGACCTAAAGAGAAACAATGTTACATAAATATTTAATAATAACTGGAAGAAATAACTATATAGTGCAATTATATAATATAAATGATATAATTGTCAGTAATGATATCATAATTATTTAATACAGTACAGTCATTTAATAATAGTACATAGATTAAATATTAAACTGAAATTCATATATATTAATTTGTATCATAATAAAATTAGGATATTGCTAAACATCACCAGTGGTGTTGGTCATCAATATGATGTAATACTGGCCAGTATTTTATTAGATTTTTTAATTCTGGTTGAAAGTACATTATAATGCTGGTACGGTAACTATCACTACCGGTGAACTTTAGCAATCATATTCATAAAATTATTATACAGTATACAAATTAAAATAAGGGCTACACAGAGATGCAAAATGAGGTCAAAATGACGTATAAATATGCTTCAATTAAACTTATTAGTACTTCAATTAAACTTATTAGTAAGCTATTAATAAACTCATGATCATATAAATACAGTAAAGTTATTTTAAATCTTCTTTCCATCCCTATTTAATTCTCTCTTTTTCATTTAATAACCTTTTTTTACAATACAACTATTAAAAATAATCATGGCAGATATGGAAAGATCTAGTAAAAAAAGAGGAAAGGGAAGAAAAACCAATTCAATAACTCAAACTACTCGTGTACCTCTTAGAAGTCTTAGAAGTCAAAGGCAATTTAATGATGGTATTTAAAATTTTTTATTAATGATAATTTCTTTACTGCAAAATAAACAAAGAATTATTAAACTGTGGCTAGTGGAACTAAGTAATAAACTTTCTCACAATTATTGAAAAGTTCGTCAGGATAATCCTGAAAGAAATAGTCAAGATGATCATCAAGAAAGTCTTCAAAACCATGAAATTCACGATCAACAAATTCATGGTAAAATCAATTTTATATATGTAGATATATAATTAATTTGTGTACTATAAAATGCTAATTATTTTTGCATATTAATTTCATTTCTTTAACAACCCCTTAATGAAGTTCCTGATAAAGAAAAGGTTACCAATGAGGAGGAAGAAGATAGTAGTGATGTATCCGAGGAGAATGAATCAGAAACTCCAAGAAAATATAGAAAAAATGATACTGATAATTTAATGCCAAAAGCTAAAAAAACTACTGGTGCGTACTTCCAAAATTTGAATGTATATTTTTAAGATTTACATTTTCCACTTAAATAGAAAGTGAAAAGGAAGAATACTATATAATTCCCATGAAGTTTCTTGAAAAATTAAACAATCAAAATAAAGTTTTATGGAAAAACCAATTGAAACAAGAAAAGAGACTTGAAGATATAAAACAAATACTTTTAAAAATACATCGTGAAGAATCCTTATCACCCGCTTTTTTTAAAGTAAATGTTGTTTTTGGTCCTAGATTTGTAAATATTTTTGACAACATTTGAACTTTTTTTAACAGAAAGGTATTGTAACGATTACTAAAGAAATACAAAAGAAATCCTTATACCCCACTCCAGAATTATTCAAGGAACATTTTGAGGTATATATTGAAAAAGGGTCTAAGGGATATATTAATGATATTGGGAGACATCGTTGGGATTCTCGATTTTACTCTGAATTTATGCCTATCGTAAGTGTTATTTATTTTTAAAGTCTTTAATATAATAATTTTTATGAATATTAATCTTGTTATTTATTTGATAATATACTAGTGTCTCGACAAGATGAAAAATCGTCGAGGTATACTCGCAAAAGAAATAAGAGCTACACTTTTTAAAACATGTAATATTCAAATTAAAACAAATTCGGGTGCGAAAATTACTGATTGGAAAAAAAGTCCTTGTGTTACAGAAGCATACGCGAATTTGTGGAAAGTAGACAATACTGGACTTTTCGTAATTAATGGAATTATTATGAAGGCAATGCCAAAAGAATCCAAGGAAAATTGTTTAACACCTTCAATAATTTCATTTGCTCTTGCCGTCTGTTGTATTGTTTTAAATCCACATAGTGACGAAATAAGATGCACAGAAGACGCCATTAAGCAACGATCATCTATTTTCTTGGTATGTTTATAATTTAAATCTATAGAAATGATGATCGGAATTATCATTAATTTGTTACTTTGGTAGGTATTATTAAATGAAAATACATTTCCAAAAGAAAGTGATATTTCGGAAATTCAGGAAGGATCAAGAGAAATGACTAATTATAATGATAATGTTGAAGAAATTTCTGAAGATGATGATGACGCGAGATTATTTGAGTAGTTATTTTACTGTTCAATTCATAATTGTTTGTAATAGAATATAAATTTTATTAGTAAAGAAATGCAACGAAAAGATGTAAAATTTTATTATTAAATAAATGTAAAAAATTTCATTATTAAAAAATGCGAAAGTTTTTATTATTGAAAAAATATGAAAATTTTTATTTTAAAAGAAGCGCGAAAATTTTTATTATTGAAAAAATACGTGAATCTTTATTATTGAAAACATATATAAATTCTCATTGATAAAAAGATACGTAAAATTTTATTTTAAAAAAAATGCGAAAATTCTTATTATTAAGGTTATTCACTATTTTTGTACACCCGTATACCCCCGTAGGTGGTGTGAATTTGCGTAATTTTTTAAAGACGTAAAATTTTGCAGATCCACGCCTTGTTTTAACTCCTGATGAAAGAAAACCAATACTTACCATTCGAAATTCCAAAGTTCTAGTCAGAAGGAAGAAAAGGAACGTAAATGACGTTAATTCGCAGTCTGTAATGCCGTTGTAACCCTATATTAAAAGAAACTAATCAATAAAAATCAATAAAAATAAAAAAAACCCAATTAGAAAAAAACTAACCTTTTTTGGTCTTTTGCCCTTTGTAAATTAGTTTAAAAAGCTGTTAGAAAAAAAAAAAAAAAATATCACCGGATATCCGATGATCCATCTGGTCAATCCGGTGATACAAACGGTCCGGGATATGAACCAATTTTTTTTGTGTCGCCTTATTATTCCTATTTATAATTATATGGAACTATTTAGAAGTTGTTGTTTATATAAAACAAGACTACTAGTTGCAGTGCGTATATTTTCTTTATGTAGGGTTTTATACTATAGTTTAAGAAATAAATTCAAAATGGTACTTTTATTTATTTTAAAATTTATTTATTTGAAAATTTCCTTATATATACTATGTACAACCACGCACAAAAAAAAAAAAAACTTGAATTTGATTAACAATGAAAATTTTTTTTATGTCGAAAGTTCTAAAGTTGATCATTTGCTCAATTAACTTTTCATAATAAGAAAATTTTTTTTTTTATGCAAGAGGCGAAGTTTTACGTAGGCATGCATATCTATATATGTGTTTCAAAATAAAAAAGCTCAATTAACTTTTCACAAAAAATTTTTTTTTTTTTTTTATACAAGGGACGAAGTTTTACGTACAGACATGCATATTTATTTGTTTCAAAATAAAGAAAGCTTAATTAACTTTTCACAATAAAAAATATTTTTTTATTTTATGCAAGAGGCGAAATTTTACGTACTGTACAGCCATGCACATTTAATTTGTGTTTCAAATAAAAAATCTCAATTAACTTTTCATAATAAAAAAAATTTTTTTTTTATGCAGGAGGCGAAATTTTACGTACGGCCATGAATATTTGAAATGTGTTTCAATAAAAAAACTTAATTAGCTTTTCACAATAAAAAAAAAAATTCTTTTTTTATGTACGTACAACCATGCATATTTACATGTATTTTAAATGAAAAAAAAGTATATAATCACAAATGGACGATATAAAAAAAATAATTTCTTTGGTAATAAATTTATATATTTATAAACGACTACCAAATGAATGAAGTAATCGAAATCAAAATTAACAATGATGCTGACAAAATCGAAGTTGATGATGTTGATAAAATAAATTTTGCTAAAATCGATGTTGATGAAAATGATGTTGACAAAATATTTAACTTCGATGGTGAACAACATAATGGTAAACCTATTACTATGTTAGAAATATCACCAAATGAAAAATACCTTATTACTTATAGTGAAGAAGATCGTTCAATTGTCGGTTGGAATGTTGAAGATATAGATAAGGTTCAACTTAAATTTCATCAAGCTGTTAAAACTAAAGAAACGAAATATGGAATCAAAAGTTTATGCGTTTCTGATGATAAGAAACTAGCTTATATTACTGGTAGTAAACATAGTGAAGATAATACTATTGGTAAGTAAAAATTATTTGATTATGTAATTATTAAATTATGGCAATTTATATTTATTTTAATATTTTTTTAGTAATCGATATGAATAATAAAGATAAAAAAATTGCATTAAGTTTTGATGAATTTGGTTCTGCAAAGTATTGTACCTTTAATTTAAAAGGTGAATTTATTTTACATAGTGTAAAGTATACTAATGAAAATGCTGTTTCTGAAATACAAAGAATTATTAAAAAACATAAAATTATTTGGATTTATTCCACACAAACTAAAAATAACAAATTGGAATGTAAGAGATTTTACAGGATACCTGAAGATTATAAATTAATTAGTATATCAAAATATGATAAAGTTTACCTGTTTTCAAATGATTACATTTATGAATGGAATATTAATACTGAAAGAGGTGTAAAAATATTTGGTAATAATAATAAGGATAAGAATAAGGTAATAAATATTACAAAATTTATTTTCCAATCAATATTAAATTATAATTAAATATATAAATACTAATTATTTTTTAGTTTGAAACAAAAAACATCGGAATATTCAGTAATGATGAAAATTTTATTTTTCTAAAAATCAATGATAAAATTGTCATTTATTCAATTGAATTGAAAATTCCTATTGCTTCTTTGGATATAAATGATGGTAACCATTTTTAAAAAATTTTATTTATACTTTAATTATTACTCATATTAAATTATTCTTTTTTATTTAGATATTCAATTATATAATTTTATGAATCATACTGGTTTATTTCTTTTACCTTCTTTATTCTATTATACCCAAGATAAAGAAATCAAACATTGCTGGAACAATAAATACAAAACTAGGTTTAATTACACTTTATTTGATAAATCAATTGATAAACCGACTGATGAACCAACTGATGAACCAACTGATGAACCAACTGATGAATCAACTGATGATCAAACAAAGTTTGTGTTTGGATTTCGATCTAAATTTGACGAAAAGATGTCAAAAATGAACTTTTTATCCGAAAATTCTGATGAATTAAACAAAGAAAATAATAAAATTGTTGAATGTGATGAATACTTAAATGTTCATTCATTTAATCTATATACGGTTAATGTGGATACATTAATTCATTCAGGTGATTTTTTTGGAATTAAATTAACTGGAAATTTAATTGAATGGGATGTACGTATTGGTGACGGTAAAATTAAACTGGAAGTTTTCAAAAAAGGAAAATTAATTAGCACGAGAATTGAAAATTTTTATTATCCTATTAAATTTTTTATTACTTTCGACAATGATCATAAATTACTTGAGAGCTCATTATTTAATAATGATGATATTGTTATATTGACAACATTTGGTATTCTTATTTATACTTTTAGTGAAAATAACAAATCTAGTGAAAAAGACCAATCTTGTTTTTATAACAAATATGGTGAAAAGGACAAATCTATTTTTTTAAACTATTTTTATCGTTGGAAAGATAATAAAATATATTACCCAGAATCTACTTTACCATTACCAAATCATGATAGTTTTAGATTAGATGGATGGGTTTTAGATGTGATAAATAATAAGTCAAGTCTTTTGAAATATGGTGTTGAATTATTAAAATTTGCAATTAAAGAACATAAGTTAGAATTAATTGATGATATTTATAAAAAATGTATGACTTATTTTAAAGAGGATTTAATGAACAATAAGTCATTTTTAAGCATTATAACTTCTGCAATGCCATTACTAGATGAATATTATCCAGAATATATTCTAAAATATTCATCAGAAACGAATATGATCATAGATTCTTCTTTTTACAGTATAGAGCATCAAAATAAAAATTTCCATCTTTATTCTTTTTTTCAATCTCCTCAAATGGCTAATTTATCAAAATCTCTTTTATGGACAAAATACCATTATAAATTATATCATTGTAATCCAATAATAATACTTATATTGTTTATTATACAAGCTTTAATAATACTTTTAACTTTACCCCTATATTTGGCTACATTTTATATTTTATTAAAATACGATTTTATTAATAGTATTTACATTTTTGATATATTTTCTCTTATTTATTTCTATACTAAACGTAAAATTTTTAAAATTTTTAAAAAATATATAACAACGACACCAACAATTACTTTTATGATTCCTTATATTAATTTTGTTAATTATTCAAGTGATTATAAGTGGTTTTTAGAATTAATTAAACCTCAACCTAGTCCATTTACTGAAACAATAAATAGAAATATTTATAAAACATGGAATGGAGAAGCATTAATTAATTTTAAATGGAATGTTTATGGAAAATATTATTATGCAATGATTTGGATTTTATTTATGGCTTTGCTTGGATGCTTTACTACTGCTGCAACAATTTCTTAGCAATATATTAATGAAGAATTTAGACAACAACTTTTTATTGCTTCGATTATACTTGGATTTATTCATCTGATTTTAGAAATTCGTCAATTTTTTTATAATATTACTAAGTGGTTCTATAATTTTTGGAATATTTTTGGTAAATATAAATGTTTAATTTATTTTACAATATTTTAAGAAAATAAAATTAATTATATAATATTTTAATATTGTAGATATAATTGCTTATGTCCTTTCAATTTACACTTCTATTTATTGGCTTCAAACAAATGATAAGAACAATAATATGTATCTAATTCAATTGCTTTCTTTTTCATGCTTATTTTTGGATATAAAATTTTTGTTATTTTTTAGAGCATTTGAATATTTTGGTGTATATTTTGCAATAATTATTAGTGTTGGAAAAAAGATTTTTTCTTTTTTATTAGTCTTATTCATTATTATAATAAGTTTTGCACATGCATTTTATATTTTATTATCACCAAAATCTAAATTTTCACTTGATCAATATAATACAAATAGTAATGATGATCCAAATAATCCTTGGAATTTAGCTCCTAGTTATAGTCAAGTTGATAATAATGGAAATATAAATTCCAATCCACTTATGATGATTCAAATTCCTGATGGAAATACAAACATGTTTATAGATATTAAAACTTCCCTTTTTGCTATATATTTATTTTTAATAGGTATATTTAAATTTTTCATAATTATGTAAATATACATAAATATTTTCTAATATTTTTAAGCAATTCTTCTTATCAATAGGTGATTCAAGTGCATTATCCAATTGGACGTATACAGAAAATCCATCAATTTCAGTATTGATTGTTTTGTTTTCCCTTTTAGTTGTTGTATATCTTATGAACTTGTTAATTGGATTACTCAATATAGCAATTGAAGAAGATAATAATAGAGTCTCATATTTGATGCAAAAGGCAGAGGTAAATAATATTATCATTAATCATTCCATTTCTGTAAATATACTAATATATCTCGATTTTATTTTTAAAGATTTTGGCTGAGATTGAGTTATTTTACCTATTACCACATCAGAAACGTTGGCATACATGGTTTCCTGAAGTAATGTATGTAATTTTACTTTTAAAAAAACTTTGTTATGGTCTTATTAATTATTCGAATTTGTTTTTTAAGACATTATTATGCCGATGTTGATAAAGCTCGAGTAGAAATTAAAAGATTGATTAAAGAGGGTGAATGGGATACTAAGGAATTCACAGAGTTGCGGAAAAATTTATTCGAAGTACTTCAAATTGAATATAATTCTATTGACAATGAGGCAATATTGGAGCAATTAAAAATTGACAATGAGGTAATATTGGAGAAATTAAAATCTCATGAGAAATTATTGAAAGAAAATAATAATGAGTTGGAGAAATTAAAATCTCATGATGAAAAATTAGATAAATTAGATAAATTAGATAAATTAGATAAATTAGAGGAATTAGAGAAATTATTGAAAGAAATACGCGCAAAATAATTTTTAATATTATGTTAGTTTTATAATTCAGTTTGTAATTTAAATAATTCTTTTTTATATGGCTTATCCAAATATTAAATATATATATTCTTTTTTTTTTTTACTTAGAATTATTTAAACACTAATGTTAATGAATATTTAAAAAAATTCTTAGTTCATAATTTAAATAAATCTTGATTTTTCTTAACTTATCCAATTATTAAATATAAATTGCATATAAGTATCTCCAATTTACGAAATCAAAATAAATAATGTAAAATTTTTTATATTCATCTTCAAGACAGTGTTGATGACATTAAAGTAATTAAAACTTCATTAGCTCCATAATTTCTAAATTAAATGAAAGCTTTTTTTTGATAATGACAGATTGTTAACATAAAAATCTCATAGGGTGATTCCATGGGTTGATTTTGAATATACATATTTTTTTTGAGTAGCTACCATAAATATTTAATATATCAACGTAATAAGAGATTGGAAAAATATATTTATTAATACATTTATTAATAATAGAATTATTATGATTTAGGAGAATCAGTTAAATCAAAAAAATTTTTTTTTTTATGATAATAAATAAATATTTCATTTGGTAAAAAACTTTTTTCTTTTTCTTTCTTTTTTTTTTTGAGGAAAAGTAGAATACCTTTTAGTATTTATGAAAAGAAGAAATTTTTTAAACATTTAAATAAGAAAAATTATACAATAATAAGGAATCGAACCGGCTTTAGACAAACCCTCAAATGCTGAAAAAATTCGTCATAAATTCTTTTTATTGGTTAAATTATACGTAATAGCTAGACGCAAAACTATTGGTAGATTTAACATATTGATTGGACATCTGACAGTTCTGATCACGGATCATAAAAAAAATAATAATGTATGATATCTAAAATTCTTTAAGTTCATCTATAATAATATGGGAAAAATTGTGTTATGACATAAATAATAATAAAGTTGTATTTACTTAATACAATGTTTTAAAATAAAAGCCTATTTATAAATTTATTAAATATTGGCATAAAAAAATATATATATATATTTTTTATTGGAATTTTACAATAAAAAAAAATCTAATTAATTTTATATAAATTGTAAAATTAGATTCACGTGGCACGAAAAAAGTTGGAACGTAGCCCATGATCATAATTACTCTTCCTCTTTCTTGAAATAACCTTGAACCCGTTGCTTTTCATCACCGGTTTCTTCTCATCTTCCACCTATCCTTTAACAAACCAACTATAACCTCCATTACCCGCTTCACATTTTTATGCAAATCCTTTTCTTCTTCCGAACTTTCTTCCAAAGCAGACTCGACAAACCGGATATTGAGTGGATTTCTACTCGTGCAAGAAATTACGTCTGGAGTATAAAGGAGAAAATGCCATTAGTGTTGTATGGTGATCGGTTTGTTGTGATCATCACCGTTGGCCGGAATTATCAATTTTTACCGGCACTATATTTTTTTAATGCTGGTCGATCGTCATAATTTCAGTCACCGGTGAACTGTGATATTGCCATATTTAAATTATGTTTTCATATTTCACAAATTAATATAAGATTTAATTATTACTAATTATTCTTTGAAATTTTTCTCTAACGTCTCACATCTGATAACTGGTTAACGCGTTAAGTAGGACTCCATGTTCTTATATTTTATTTATTTTTAATATAAATTTGGTACATTGATTCTCTTAGCATAATTTTGACGAGGGAGAGTTTTTTTTTATGATCGTTTAAAATCTAAATTAAATTATAAATTTATGATAAAAATTGATCATTGAGATTTAATACTATTATAAAATAATAAAATAAAAACTGTTACAATAAAATATATAAAAAATTAACTATTTAATTTTACACAAAATATTTTATAACATTAAATACATATTTAATTCTGTTACTATTGAATCCCGTGATTTTATATGAAGTCATATGACATAAATTAGATCTGAGTTAGTTTTATCAAAAATTTAGACTGTGTTCTTGATTAAAATGTGTATGTAGTATATTAAAGTACTTTAATATGTCTTAGTCAACTATAATAGATGTTAATAAAAATAATAAAGATTTCTATTATTTCTATTGTATATTTAATTAAATCTCCTAAATAGATATGAGGAGTTAAAAATTAAACAGATAATCAATTAGACTCTGACAAAAGTAGAAATTAAACAGGTATCGGTGATTAGATATTGATCTGAAAAAATAGATGATATGATTGATATCTGTTTAACTACTTTTTTGTGTTAATTTTTACTTTTTTGGTTAATTTCTACTTTTTTGTGTTTAAATTTCTACTTTTTTATGTCTTAGATTATGATATACTACTTTCACTACAGATTTTATTAATTAGACACAGATCCAAAATATAACAAAAGTAGAAATTCGGTAATTAAATATTAATCTGAAAAATAGAGATTAATAGATATTGTTAGATCCGAAATATAACTAAACAGTTATCGGTAATTAAATATTAATCTGAAAAATTGAGATTAAATAGATATCGTTAGATCCGAAATATAACTAAACAGTTGTCGGTAATTAAAGATTAATCTGAGAAATAGAGATTAAATAGTTAAACACTGATCCGAAATATAAAAAAGTAAAAATTAAACAGATGTCACTAATTAGAAACCGGATATAGCATACTTACATCTTAAAAATTATGTATCTTCACTAGTTAACATTTTTGTATAAATAAAAGGTATTTAAAGCAATAAAAAGTAGATTTTTTTTCGTAAATTACTTTCATATTTTTTTTCTCAAAAGATCATGTCTAGTGAAAGGTTCTTGAGACATCAACTCATTTCCTACTTAAGGGAAAAGAAAAATAAGTCGTATCGCAGTTTTCTCCTTCATTACAGAAAAGAAATCAGCGAATATTTTTTGCATACCTCAGTAATGTCTTGGAGAGATCACGACAATACATGGTCCCAGTTCTTCTTATTAGAGGCCAAGAGGTTGTTAAATGAAAACAACTTTGATACATTAGAATATAAGGTGCGTCTTTTTATTTTGCAATGAGAGGGTAACTCCTGGTCGAGTCCAGCGTGTCGTTGCTCAGGAGAATTACTGTGCTGGGATTGCTGGTAACCACCCCAGCTTGCACTGTACAGGCGTCCTCACGTTGTCGTTGATAAAAGTCTACTAATCTTGGATGAGAGATTGGTCATGTACCTTCCTTTATCACTAAATAAATAGCGCATTCTGCTAATATTAGCTTCCTTTTATTAGGTTAGAGTAGAACGATGCAATGATGGTCTAAAGAATTACTGGGAGGAAATAATACAAGAGTGTGAGAAGGTAAACAATCTGATTCATAATTTTAAAAACTTTCTTCATTCTTCAGGAATTCTTAAAGATTTTTTCGTGTGTATTTTATCTGTTAACCAATATCTATTATATCCATAGAAACAAGAACTTATCTCATACGAAAGTGAAAGGGATCGTCTTCTTCATTTACTTTCTGAAGTAAATGAAAAAATTAATATAACGAAGGCAGAACTTACCAGATTTTCTAGCTTAGGTAATAATTCTGATTTAATTTCTGATAATGGATCAGAAATTCAGTCTGGTATCGGAGGTGATCTGTATGAGGATATTAATGGAGACCCTAGTGGTGATACTGAAATGAACACTGAAGATAGTATTTCCTCAGACAACGATTCTTCTAGAAAGAAGAATCGTCGTAATCTTGTTCGAGTTAACTATAATTGCGGTTCTCCACCAAGAAAACGCAGAAAAACTAGGCCTGTAAGTCTTATAATTATAAATTAATGACAATCTCATTCACAAAGTGATAAAGATTTTTTACTCTAAATATATAGGCCTCACGACGATCAACGCCACGACAGTCACCATGTACATCATTACCGTCCACGCCGACAGATCCCTCTCATACAGATTTTCCCGATGATGAGAACCTAAGGTGCACAAATTGCCCCGTTCATTGCCCTAATAGCTCTTAGATAATTTTTTTAAATAAGCTCGCAATTAAATATAAAGTAAAAAGTTGCTAATCTACTTTTAATTAAATTTAAAAATTATTTAACTTACTTCATATTTAATTGCGAGTTTATTTAAAAAAATTATCTAACTTCTAAAATCATATTTTTTTAGTTTTATCAAATTTACGGTGTACCGTTTGGACAAAAAGTGCCAAAATTTCATCTCTTATAATAATTGTTTAATAAAAATATTTGCATATTATTTTATCTTCCTCAATTAAATACTATTTTCTCATATACAAATTTAAGCATCGTTTTCTCATAATTTTCAGAGAAATATTTAAAATATTTTAATTTGAAAGTGCATTAAAAAATTGATTTATAAACTGATTTAACTCAGTGAGTGATTTACGGGAAATGGGATAATAAAAAACAAAGTTGGGAAAGGACACTTCAACACGTTGAAGTTACATTGGAGTTTATAATTTATATAACCATTAATTTGTTGTTAAAATTGGCTTATTATTAGATTGCGTCACATTATAAAGTTGGCGGAGGCGCAGTTATTATGCTTTACGGAATAACACAAGACTCAGACACAAAGAATTATATGATAGTTTTGGAATATGCTTTAATGGCGGTTTACGTAACTTATTATTTTATTATTTTTTGTTAACTAATTATTAACCATATTAAATTCCTAATTATAAACAAAAAACTATCTTTAATTTACTTAGTATTACATTATAATACTAAATTTTCTATTTAAACAAACCGGTGAGAAGCAACGGGTAACTGCTATTAATGATTTGACGTTTGAATTTGGATTAATTAAGGAGTTGTGAATAAATAATTATCGATTAATTTATTAATATTTATATGAAAATACTTCAAATATTTTTATTTATTATAAATTATTTCTTATTATTTTATATTACGTCTTATAACAGTTGAACAATTAAATGTATTAAAATTTGTTCATTTCATTTATTATTATTCTTTTGATACTCATTTTACTCGAATAAATTATTAATTAACTAAACCATTTGAATTACAATCTTTATTCAAAAATCTGGTGATAATTTAGTAGAGAAGTCCGGATATGGATTTAATCTATTATTAAATTAACAATTTCTTCAATTAATTAATTATAAAATATTGTAAAAATATCAATTTTTTTTTGATTTTTATGATAATTTTGTAAATATATTTAATATAATATCTTATTTCTTTATTAATAATAAAAAAAAATTGAAAAAAAAAATTGGGGGGAAAGAAAAAGATAAAGAAATTTCCGAAAAAAAAGGAATCGAAAAAAACAAGTACCGAAAAAAAATTCTGAAAAGACAATAATTCGGTCTAAAAAATTTTTTTAAATAAAAAAAAAAAATTTTTCAGTTTGGGAAAAAAAATTAAACCTAAACGGGAAAAGAATGAGAAAAAAAATTAATAAAAAAAAAAAATTCCGATTAAGGTAAAATTCATTAACTGAAATTGGATTAGTTGATTGGAATGCACACGGATCAAATAGTTTTTGACCATAAATAGATTAGACGGAGGCATGTTACGGTTTTAATTATATGACGTGGGATTTCAAGTTACATAATTCAAATTATTTATGCGGAAGTTACTCTTTCCCCCTTTTTTTCTTTTTATTAGTATTCTGCAGTAAACACTAGTTTTACTTTTTTTTCGTTATCTGTCGATAACGACAGGGGAGGGAGCTCGCCCACCAGTGGCTTCGGAGACGTAAAGATATTTTAACACCAATAACCAAGGGACTATGAGTTATTTTCCTCGAGCAGACGGAAATTTTTTTACCTCACAATATGACAGTTACGACAACTATGAAGACTTCGAAGTCGATATTGAATCTTCCGAGATAACTTATCTCAATAATGACACTCAACCCGAAGAAACTATTTCTTCTCCCACTTTCCTTGATACTTCTTAGAGTGGAAAATTCTTTTCTCATTTCGTTCAAGAATTTCACGTGACCAAAAATTAAAAACAGGTTATAACAAGATTTACGAATTTAGGCGTTCCAAAAGTTTCTTTTTTGAGATTGCCAATCACACCAATGAAATTCACTTAAGGGTACACACGAACGACTATCTCATGTCTTCTAACCCGATTAGATATAAAAAAATATTTTAATTCGTAGAAAATTATTGGAGCGTATTCCCCTTATCAAATCACGTGGACAGAAATTTGATTGTCGCAATCGTACGTCGAAGACCTTTTTCAACCTTTCGTACAAAAGATACCGATTTTATTTCTTTCATGTAATTTTATGGTCACTCACGAATTTAATCCCGATCAGCATCATATACTCCTTGTCCGATTATAATGTCAAGGTAGACACGCTTGCGGAGTTCATTTATCACAAGCGTTCAATGAAATTGTAGTTCGCAGTGAAAAAGAAAAATTGGGCAACATTCCTGCTGATTTTGTTAATAACAAAGCTTCACATGCCAATCTTCTCTATAATCAATGGCATCCGGACGGACTAAACACGTCCTATCTAAAAGATTGGGTATATCTTATAATGAAACATTTCACGCTCATGACGCGAATTCTGGTATGAAACTTGGCAACAAGCATATGTATCGGAAGGCCTTCAGTACACGCCTAGTGCCAACCCTCGCACAAAAAAGAAACAAAAAAACGTTTTGAACGTTCCTGCAGAAGGATTTTTAATAAGACAAAACTGCAGCCAGGTGCCACTCATAAGTTGGCGGATAAGTTATCCATTGCTAAAAAATATCTGTTTTTATTTCTTGGATCTCAGTATGTTCACAAACCGATCAAATATTTGAAATACAAGCAAGCTCGGGTTGCTCCTAATGCTAATGATTACCGTTTTTAAATTCTTGACTTCATTGAAAAACATGAACGTCAACTTATTTCCTGTGGTAACAAGTTAACTACTGTTATACCTGTAGAATCTCCAATTCCGATATCTCCAATACACACGGTTGCGCCTTTTAATCCAATAACGGATATGTTTATTTCTCACTAGTATTGGGATATTATACCGCCTGATCCGATATACGCCGATGATGGCACGATTGGCACGACAAAATTCAGCATGTCGAATTTTAATGATTTTTGAATGGCACGTTCATTGTTCCTGGATCACGTGAATGGTTCATGTGTATACAGATTGGATTTACGTACTGAAGACGAACGTCGTAAAAAAGCTCAGATCGCTAAAAGGGAACGATTAGATCGAGAACAACATTTAGAAATAGAGGCTGCTAAACAAGCTGATATAGTTCAAAAGAAAGAAAAAGCCGCACTCATCGGCACAAGTTGGAAACACGTTGAATCGCGCAGTAGAATGATGTTTAAATATATTAGACTTAACGATATGTTTCATGCAGCCATGACGCGTATTCGAGAAAAACAATTGCAAAACCTAGGTAATACCAAAGTTCAAAAGGCACTACGCAAAGAAATGAATGGTTTTCTCAAATCATTTCCTAGCTTCTGGTGGGACAAATCACTATACGAAGACTGCACGTGAAGATGATCCATACGCTTCTCCGTTCACCTCAGAGGATACGAAAGTCCTCGAATTTCAGCCCAATAAGCGCGATGTTGATAGTAATTATAATCTTCCTTCGCATCGCAGTTTAATTAAACAGAAACGGCTATGCCCTGATTTGATGACTCCACGGTAGCGGGCCCGTCGAATAGTTTAAAACTACTTAATTTACTTTTCCTTTTACTTTACTTTATTTTCTTTTTTGGAGTCGGATATCCTTTCAGTTTACATATAGATTTTCTATTTCTAGGTTCGATTTTTTACCTTATGGGTTTGGTTAAATTTTACCAATTTAGAATAGTGTGAACCATTCCACCTATGACAATATTTACAGGTGGCGGCTTTTTGCCGAAAGGAAAATACGGATCATTAATTTTACTTTGATTGCTTTCCTGAAGTCTAATTTCGGTTGCGTCATTAGATAGGCCTTTTTCTTTTAATTCTAGTTAGGGCCCTTAACGTTTGTCGGGGGGTGAAACTACTATATTGTGTGTTTTTTATATTATCTTAATAGTCTTTAATAACCAATGTATAGTTCCTGACTATCAATAAATAAATAAATCAAATTATTTATGCGGAGACTAATCCAAACGTCAGACAAATTTTTTTAGTTATATAGATTAAGTTTGAAGATATGGTTGGGAATATAAACTTGTTGATTTACGTTGAATTGCAAAAGGGCTTAACCAAATTCACGCAAGTGGACTTATTCATTGAGACCTACTGTATATATAGGAAATATAGTTCATAATGCCACCGCTTGTATAACTGATATGGGATTATGTAAGTCAGCAAATTATAATGAACTAGAAAATACAAAAAAATGTATTTATGGTATGTTACCTTTAAGAGATAAAGTTATACAAAATCTGGTGATATTTGTATGAAGTATTTTTCGAATTACCTCCATTTCGTGATTTAGACATGATCAATTGGCAATAAAAATCTGCTGAGGTCTTGGACCAAGGTTTAGAGATGGAGAAGTAAATAAATGAAGCATATGAATTCAATCATAATTTAATATTAACCACTAGCAAAGAGCTTTCTTTGGGTTATCATATGAACACATTCTGAAGCTATTATGCAAGTAGATTACTTGACTTCGTCCGAACCATAAAATTCAGATGATTATTACGAACAATGCGATAATATAATTAGCAGAAAATTTTCAGGTATCAATTGTTGATTCTTTTTTTTTACTATTACTGAAAACACTAATATTCTATTTTTCATTAGAATCTTTACAAATTGATATTTATCAATTGAATACTAAAGGTGGTAGGTTTTTGATTGTATAGTAACTTCATATAAAAGTATTAACGGTTAATTTTATTTTTATAAAACAAATAGATGAAGACAAGGGGAAAAATGGAAATGTTTCCATAATGATGGATTAAAAAAATTCTTATTTCTGCTGACACTTGATCTCCAAATAACGTTAAATTTCCATATCAATAAGAGTGAAAAACATGACAGAGTTAATTATACGAAGGAGGGAGAGTTCCTGTTGACTTTTTTTTCTTTATTCTCCTGACATTTCTTCCCTTAATCAGCAGAAAGTGAACAAAATTGTTAACAAATCAGGACCCCGAGCAATACTGAAAAAGGTAACAATCAAGTTTGCATAGAATATACTAAAATAATTTGTAGATCTTTTCTACGACATAAGTTTAAATTAATTGAGAGTGAAATAAAGAAATGGTATTTAGGTAGTGCTTCGATCCGGATGAAAACTTGAATATTTTCATGTGACGATTATGGCTGAGAAAGATTATGAATTTCAGATTTAAATAGACTATAATTTAAACCAACATTAAAGTATTATTATCCCAAAAATTTATACTAATTCTGGCCAAACTAGTGAAATTTAATGAAATTCAATCCGGATGAAAATCTGGGTAAAACCGCTACGGATCGAAGCACTATATTTAGGGATAGTTAAAATGTCCATTGTGTTTTGTTACAGTTATTACCATTTTATCTACTTTTTCTGGATAATGCCAGCCAGAGTTTTGTGACATCTTTAAATCATCTTCTGGTATTATGCGTCTCCGACCAGAATTAAGATAAATAGAGTAAATGTGCGCTGATGACTTGTTACCTCTTTATGTATCGCTCGGGGTCCTAACAAATCGCAGTTATATTTGGACGCAATATACTCCTAATCAATTTTGTCATAACTATTATTTTTTATTATCCATTATTGCTATTTATGTATTTTATTATTTTTAACAATACAAGATCAAATAAAAAAACTATCGATCGTCTCAACTACGAGATTACCGCTTCATTATAACTTTACTATAACACCAATATCAACAATAAAATAATATCTCGTCTATATCTCACATATCACAAACAGAAACTTGATAAGTATGTTGAAAAATGATGCCATATATTATAATAATAAAGATGTTTGTGAAATCAGGAAACAGAAATTCTTCTGCGTCATGAGAAAGTGCTATGTCCACTTTATACTTTATCTTTCACAATCAGAAAATAAAAGCAGCAAAGCTGAAAGTGTCTTATGTGGCTTTCCACTGACCAATTATGTCACTTTTAAAATTTTCTGGAGTCATCAACAGAAAAAATAGAGGGCAAGAAAAATCATATATATGGCTGCTGCAGAATGCAGATATCGATTGCAGATATCAATAACAATTAACAAACTATGAGACCGTATACCTTGCTTTATTTTTTTAGGATAATTACTTTGAATAAATCCTTACTTTTATTTATCATAATTAGTTGGAAAGAATATTTCCGATAACATTAAACAACTAACCGGATTAGCTCAGTTTCTTACAATAAGTTTCTTACAGTAAGTTCTTTACATTGTCACATTTTCCCTATTTGAGTCCAGAAAATCTCCGAATGCTTAAAAATTAAATTAATATGGCACTTTAACCGTCACTTCACAAGTAATTAAATGAGATCTTTGAACTTTGCAGACTTTTTGCAGATTGATATAAAGTCATGGGAAGATGATAATTATAATTAATTATTAAGGCAGATTTACAACATTCGCTCCTAATGGGACGATTATTCGACAAACAAGGAAGTATTAATGGTTTGAAACTATCCAATTGAATTAGGGTTTATCTTTGAGATATTGCTGTTTGCAAAGTAAATAAATTATTGTAGAGTAAAAAAATAGACAATAGCCTTTTCCTATTCGGTAATCTGTCGTATTCTCTGAAATATAGTGTTACAATCTTTTTTTTATATTTTTAAAATAAGAATTCTAAATCTAAGAGTATACCGCCCACCCTTTTTCTTTCTTCATTTTTTTTTTCATTAAAAAAAAAAGTATTTATGTATTACTCAAAATAATCAATATTACTTTATTTACACTCAATTTATTCAAAAAGATTTTCTTCATTTTGCAATATCTACAAAAAATTTTACGTATTACTCAATAATCAATATACAGTATACTATATTATATAATATAAAATTTATCAAAATAAAAAAAAACGTGTTACCGCAATAAAATTTATTTTTTTCATAAAAATTTTACGTGTTACTCAAAATTAATATATTTCGCAAATATATTTCGCAAAATTTATTTTTTTCATAAAAATTTTACACGTTACTCAATCAGTATATTTTGTAATATAAAAATTTATTTCTATCAACTTTTTATTTTTTACTCATTTACTCAATCAAATTTTATAATTTACATTTTACATAATAAACTAGAAATTGCGTTTTGTGGGGGACTTCGTCCCCCATTGTTTAATTTTGTGTATTGAAATGTTGATATCAAATCAAGTTGCATTTTACTGGCGTTTATAAAATGCTCTAACAGAAAAAATTTAATTTTTTTTTTTTTTGATTCAAATTATTTAATGACAAGTGACAACTAACATTATCATATTTATTAAAAGCATTTATTAAAAGTATTTACAAAAAAAAAAAATAATAATAATTTACTGTATGCTAATAATTAAAATTCCACCTTTACTAAAAATTTACATGTTGTTAATGGTTTGGATATTGGTTCCAGTTGGTTCGATTCCAACAGACAACAAATAAAGGTAAGAAATTCCATAGAAGCTAAAGTCCTACAAAAATCGTGCATTATTCATAAAAGATCTACTATTGGGATTCAGGTGCTGATTTCCCTACAAAAAGAAAAAGTAACATTAAAAATAATAAAAATAAAGTTTTTTTTAAAGTTTTGAATCAAAACTTACTTATGGTATCCAAATTGGAGTCAATTTCCTTAAAAAGAAAATTCTGGAGCATTCTTTGAATCTCACAGATCCAAAGATATCGCAGCTGAAACCTACAAAATAAAGAAAGAATCAAATTAAAAAACAATTTTTATTAAGAAGTTTTGAAGTATTTGCTTCAAAACTTACCATTTCAATGCCCAAAGATATCACAGCCGATACCTACAAAATAAAAAAAATAAATAAAATTATAAATTTTTCTGAAAGTTTGAAAAAAACGAAACTTTGAAACTCACTGACCCAAAGTTTAAGGAGATATTGCAGTCGAAACCTACAGAATAAAAGAAAATTTTAAAAAATAATTTTTATTAAAAAAGTTTTGAAAAGAAAATGAAACTTACCGATCCAAAGCCCAATGAGATGTCGCAGCCATTACCTATAAAATAAAATAAAATAAAATAAAATTAAAAATCTTTTTTAAAGTTTCAAAAAGAAAGCAAAACTTCAATACTCACCTATCCAAAGCCCAAGGATATTACAACTGATAACTACAAAATAAAAAAACAAATAAATAAAATTAAAAAAAATTTTTAAAGTTTTGAAAAGAAAACAAAACTTTGAAATTTACCTTTAAATCAAATGCATAAGAACTGAAAGCCGAAATCTACAAAAATAGAAGAAAAAAAAAATTAAAATAAATTAATTTATCTTAAAAAAAGTTTCAGCTCTTTCGCTCTGAAACTTACCTATATATCAAATACCCAAGAACAAAAAGCCGAAACCTACAAAATAGAAGAAAAAAAAAATTAAATAAATAATTTATTTTAAAAAAAGTTTTGGTTCTTTCACTCCGAAACTCACCTATATATAAACGTCCAAGAACTGAAAGCCAAAACCTACAAAATAAAAAAACAAGTAAATTAAAAAAAATATTTTTTAAAAAAGTTTCAAAGTTTTCACTTC